GCCTAAGGCCCTTTTTTCACTAGATCCCCTGATTTACCTAATTTTATGTTGTGACTATTCATTCCTCATTTATTGCATGTGTATAGATAGGCCTTCATAAAACATTTAATTACTCACTTGTTTTAATAATTAATTCATTATTAAACTAACAATGCTTGATCGTGGATGCGATGAAAATTGCAACCCTCAACAAAAAAGTTACCAGCAGTTTGCCAAACTGGTGATCTGATTGGTCAATATTAGAGTAGTCGCCACTACTCCAAATTCAGAAATTGGGGTTGTCGCGGAAGCTGTCACAACGTCGCTTTAGCCAGTAAGGTTTGTGAGCATGCACAGATGTCTGTTACGCTCTATTAGTTCATAGTAGACTGGCCGCGTAGTCAAAACGATGCCTATAATTAGTGATATATATGCTACTGTATATAGAATGCATTTATTATTATTATTATTTTTATTATTGTTATTATTATTATTATTATTATTATTATTATTATTATTATTATTATTATTATTATTAAGTGAATGAAAAAATAAAAAAACTTAACATTAAGAAAAAAAAATTGTGATTTTTATTTGTTTTTCTTATTTATAGCTTATTTTACAATAACATTTCAATAATATATCCAATATTAAAATATGTAATATAGTATACTGCTTTTTTCCTGGCTATTTATTAAATTAATGGACAACACTTTCCATATTTCAGTTCTTGAAAGATGTGTTCCTAAGTTTCTGGTGGATCTTGTTGAAGGGGTTGTAGATGCAGCAACAGCAAAAGATAACTTTACATCAGGGTTAGAAAAAACAAATGATGGACAGAATCTCACATTATCCAATGGGGACACATACAGTTTGGACAGCCTTGCTTCATTACTGTCAGAGTAGGTTTAGCATGATTGGTTATTCAAGTAATATTCATTATGAATGGTAATAATGATAACAGTCTTTTATAATATATTTCTTTTTTATCGATCACAATATAGAGTCATAATTTCACCTACATACTACGTTTCGTGAATGCTTGATTCACTTTGTCAGGTAGCCTGGGTTCCAGGCCCTAATTTTAGGTTACTCACTCTTTATTGCACTTAGTGCGCGCCATACCTAATTTAATTGGCGTCCCATACTCGATTTCTTTTTTTTCGAATTAGGGCCTGGGCCGGCAAACGATTCATGCGTACGATTTCCCACATCAAATTTGATGTGGGATATCGTATGCATGACTGATTTTGTAAATCACGTGACTGGCTAACCTCATGCATATTAACAAAGATACTAGTATCTTTGATATTAATCAATCTTGGTAAACTTTCAAAATTGAAGATGCGGATGTCTCGACTAGAACAAGAACCAGCTCCTTTTTTGCTACTTATACTTGAATTAAAACAGTTAGTATAGTTCTGGCCTGCTGAGAACGACATGGACTGATAACCGTAGGCTATAGGAACCTTGCTCACCGCTAGCTGCTACACAGATTTAGGGCTTTAGGGTAGAATATTGTTAAAAAGGTAGGCCTCTGTAAGCAAGGAGGTATTAAATAATACCTCCTTGCTGTAAGTAAGAACTTAAAAATACGCCAAGCCTCTACTAGTCTAGGCTAGGCCTACTCCTGACTCCAGACGAGGCCTGATCCATCCTCCTGGAAAGTTTTGTTGTATTTGTATGGTATGCCATCTAGTCTAAGCTTTATTGTTTTTGCCATTGCCAAAATTAGTCTTACTAGGGTCTATTCTAAATATTTTAGGCCCGTTTTATTAGGGAGGACTATTTAAATTTAGTCATGCCTAACTAGTCGACGCGAGTGACTCAGTTTCGTGGTTCCAAAAATATGAACATTTGATTGGTTGAAATTGTTTATTTCGGTTCGCCCATTTATCCAAATACGGAATATAAGATTACGTCATTCTTTTGGCATCCTGGTGCCTGCATTCAGTGTTTTACACAAGTCGCTTATTCCGTCTATCTCTAAATCAAAGATCTTATAAACACAAGATAGCGTTCTCCGCGATTTAGGCGTAACAAATAGAAGCGTCGGTCAAGGTTCAAAAGTTTCCCATTTAGCAAGAGGGCGTCATTCATGCGCTATTACCGAAGATGCACGCGTAAATCCCGGAG